GCGAGGGCGGCTGCCCGGCATCGGGCTCTGCTTTGCTCCCCATGTGGGGGCGATCGGTTTTTGGGGGCCAATGTGTGTGCTGGGTCCGCTTGCTGATTTTTTTCCAAGATGCTCTTCGACCAACGTCTCCCTCCGGCTGGCGTCCTGCAGGTGTGGAGCCCCGCGGAGGCTGCCCAGGCCGTCTTTTCTACTGAACGCTGTGTGGAGTTGCTATCTGATTTTTTTTTTAATTATTATTTTTGCTAACTTATTTGGATTTTTTTTTTTAAATAAAGGCATTTTTGTTTGAATGGCTCAGGGCTTCCTTTACCGCTGTCCTCCTCTGTGCAGGTCTCCCCTAATTCCCAGATTGGGGATCTCTCCATATCAGAAAATCCAGCTGGACCTCAGTGCAGGTCGCTCAGCAGTGGGAACTGGATGTCCCACGCTTACATCAGCCCTGCAGTGATTTCACTGGTTTGCAACTGGGGCTCAGCCCTGTACCCCAAAAACTCTCGGGGGAGCTAAAGATTAATTATATTTTTAATTTGGGCTCTAGAAAGAAGGCTCAAGCCAGCACTGTTTTAAAATCCTGTTTATTGGAACACACATACATCCTTTCCTGACCCAATCCAGGGTTTGGAGTCCATGCAGTACCAATAATATGACGAAAGAAATAGGGCATTGATATAAAGGGCTCACCGACTCTTCAAATTAAAAAAATATTTAATACTGTATTAGGCAAATAATACACCGAAAAGACATCGTGACTGTATAGCCTCTCAGATATTGCACTTCCAGACAGCACATGATAAGTATAAGGTCATTCCAGCCATCAATAAATACCACATCAGAAATAGGGGCCACACAAGGCAAACGTGGCATGAGGAGACGAAGAGATCCTACCCTACGGGGGAGAAATGGGAAGAGTTAAGAGCCTCCTGGATTGATCCCTGCCCGTAGCCTGGAGGCAGGAGGGGAGAGCATCTCCTTTGCACCCGGGGGGGAAGGGATGGGCACATCCCGGGGCAGTGGGTGCCCCCGCCATGTCTCCCCAGGCACCCAAGGAGGGTCCCCTCTCTCGTGGGTGCTGGGTACCGTCCCGGCTGGCAGCGAGCCATATGGGGCGGTTCCAGCCCTTCCCCACGCAGCCCTTCGTGGACCCCTGTGCAGCTTCCCCCCGCGTGGCATCTGGCAGCACCCCAAAACGCAGCACCCCAGCTGCCCACCCCCTGGCAGACAGCTGCTCTCCCTGTCCCCACGATGGCCAGTCCCTGCTCCGTCCCATGCAGCGCCGACCCTGGCACTGGCTCTGGCCCCTCGTCCCCTCCTGGGGGCAGCTCCTTGCCCGGCCGCCCCAGCGTGAGGATTTTCACAAGCCCGAATCTTCCTTGGCTTCGAGTCTTGTGGGTGGCAGCATCCCTGATGCCCGGGGCTCGGGCGAGTCAGTGCAGCAGCCCACAGCGTATTGGCAACATGAACCAGGCAGGAGAAAGGTTTCCAAATATCACAGTCCACTTTTGGGGTGTCTCTGCCGCTCCGCTGAGTTACACCACGCTTCTGCCAGCGACGGAGCGGGCACCCAGCGAGAGCATCCGTAGCCCAGCCAGTGCAGGGAGAGGTGGGCAGACAAGCCACAGGCAGGAGCCACGGGGAGCCGGGGGAAGCGGTGGGGTGCACAAGCAGAAGGGAGAGCATCCTTTTCGGTCCACAGCAGCGAGACTGCAGCGTCTGTTGGTTTGGGCCGAGGAACAGGCGCAGGCTGGGCTCTCGTCCTGAAAGGCAGCCAGCACATGGCCATACGGATAGTGGGATGTGCTGAGAAATGAAGTGGGAAAGGCCCCGTGAGGATGGCGGCTCACCTCCACCCGTGCACCCACAGGCCAACAAACCCAGACGGAGTCGGTAATGAATCCTCCTGGCACAGGGGAGCCATGCCCCAGGGAACAGCAGGGTCTCAGGAGCCTCTTTGAAGTGCTTGACTATCCTTCCCTCCCCCCAGTGGGACCTCCCATCTAGGATGGCAACCTGGGGTCCCCAGCGGAGCTGTCTGTCCAGGGACTGGACAAACCATACGTGGTTGGGATGCTGAGCATCCCTTCTGCATCTCAGGGTCCTGGGAGCCTCAGGCGGCAGCGGGCTGTTCCCTCGCTGCTGAGGTCTCCATGGTCCTCCATGGCAAGGCAAACCTTGGTGAAGGCAGACAGCCTGCCTGGGTGATGCTGGGCAGAGGACGCTGGGCCTCATGCTCTCCTCTCGGTTTCCATCCAGCTCCGAGGCCTCGGTCCTCCTCGCACTTACCCAGGGCTGGGCTGGTTCCCGTCACGCTGACCCTCAGCAGGAGTACGTCCGGACCGTGGAGGTCTCCAGCCTTGGCGACCCAGAGGCACCAACTGGAAGTGAGTCGAAGAGCAGAGCGTGCAATTAGCAACTGCTCCAATTAGCCCTCGGCTTTCCACCAAAACATTTACTAGGCAGGATCTGTGCACCGAAGCCACATGAAGATGAGGGTCAAAGGAAGACGGACATTTGGCCAGCTCTGATGCTCCCAAGGCTCCAGGCTATTTGCAAAGTTGCCACTTGCCATCCCTACTCTTGGGCAGCGAGCACCCTGCTACCCGTGTCTGGGTGCTGTCAGACTTAGGGACTTTGTCCCAGGTTTCATTGTCCTCAGCCAGGTGGGAATTGCAACTTCCAGGGGTGGGGTGGAAAAGGTTGAACAGAAGTTTGACCCAAACCGCTGGATGGAAAGCTGTGAAATTTGAGCAAATCTGGAGACCAGAGGAGAGCTGAGTCTGGGGCTTGGTGCGGAAGGTGAAAGCAAAAGTTTTTAATTCTCATTCATACACTCATTTCTGAGCCTGCTGAAGCCAGCTCTGCATCACTGGGGATGTGACAGATGGCTTGGGACAGTGGGACCAGGGTACCTGGTCCAGGAGACAAACTGGGGTGACTTGGCTGGAGCTTGTGCCTCTCTGCAGCTTTGGAAGGGACCAAGATAACTTGTAGAAAGGAGCCGTCTGGTGGTGGGGCAGAGCCTGGGACATGTGTGCTCAGCTAAAACACACGACAGCCAGCAGCACGGGCAGCAAGCGTCTCGAAGCAGGTCCCTGCCAGCCCTGGGAGAGTGGCTGCTCAGCAGCGCTTGGACTGAATTGAGCTGGTTAATTCAGTCCCTTTGGGGATGGTTTCCAAAAAGCAGAGTGGACAAGACTGGCCCAGATTGGGCTGCTGCTTCCTGACAGCCCCCAACGCTACCCCAACAGGCTCTGTCTGAATGCCAAACCCAGGGTGGGTGACACACATTTCATGCCCTGATCCAGCCCTCTCCCTCGTCCTGGCAGTTCGAAACAAAGAATAATGGAATCATAGAATCATAGAATCATTAAGGGTGGAAAAGACCTCTAAGATCATCAAGTCCAACCGTCAACCCAACACCACCATGCCCACTAAACCATGTCCCTAAGTGCCTCATCTACACGTCTTTTAAATACTTCCAGGGATGGTGACTCCACCACTTCCCTGGGCAGCCTGTTCCAAGGCCTGACCACTCTTTCAGTAAAGAAGTTTTTCCTAATGTCCAGTCTAAACCTCCCTTGGCGCAACTTGAGGCCATTTCCTCTCGTCCTATCGCTTGTTACTTGGGAGAAGAAACCACAGACCAGACCAGAGTCTGAAATAACCGTCCTGAAAAAACATTTACAGCAGACAACGGCTCAAGGATCACATGGATTCAGCACCGCAGGCGATCAGCAAGCCTCTCTCCCTCTCCTCTCCTGGTGGCACATCATTCCCCGTATTCACCATGAGGTCTGAGCAGGGGTGGGAGAAGGGGGTGACCTACCTTCCGGGGGCATTTTCTTGGCAGGGGCGGATGGAGGGGGCAGGGGCACCAGGCTGGTGACGCGGAAGCCGGTGGGCAGCGTCTCGGCCGAGCCACTGAGCATGTTGATGCTGTGAACGTCTCGTGGGCTGAAGCGCTTTCGCCAGGATGGGGTTCGACGGAAGGTCTTGTCGTCACCCTGTGAGGGAAGAGCAGGTTACGGGCCTGGCAGCAGTGGCAGCAGGACCTTCTGCCCCCGTGAGATACCAGCACGGCTTCCACGTAACTAAGGGTGTGCCTGTACATGGAGACCAACTCAAACAGTCCAGAAGTGTGTGATCAAACTGGGCCAAGGACATAAGAGACCTCTCCGGGATCCCATGACATAGGCTTTATCCTTTCCAGCTTGCCTATCTCTTCTCTCCATGATGACTGCAAAGGTGCCTTGGAGACATCAACATAAGCCCCAGTAAAGACCCCACGGGATGTAGCTAACCTTGGCCAGATAATGGCATCTGGAAGTGCCTGCTTCTCTCTGTGCTCTAAAAAGAGCCCTGACTAGCTCTGCTATCCTATCTCATGGAGGAAAGCTATACGTAGGAGAGATCTAGATGAATTCCCACCTTCAGTGACAACGTGAACAGCTTTCTGGCTTTCTGGACATCTCTAACCCACCAGTTTTACCCACCGCAAATGTGTCATGCCCAGAACATCTGTGACTCTAAAAGGCAATATTAAAGCAGCTGGCAAGGAAAGCCAGGTGAGCCTACTTGAAATTCAGCCCACCAAGCATGAGGCTAGAAATGATGCACAAGACTCTTCTTCACCTGCCTCCACAGCCTGGCAGCATGTTCCTCAGGGCCTTGTCTAATAGTTTTAGCTTATTCCACCGATACTGCTCATGCAACTGCTCTAGAGAGTTTGTGATGCACTATTTGACTCCCCTGGACAAAGATGGAGAGAGCAGAGGTCCTGCCTCTCCTGTTTCTTGCCCAGCATTATCAGGACATGGGAGAGGTTTGGTACTTACATCATCCAGCCTCCGATCGGTGCCCAAGGCGAGCAGGTTGTTGAACTCCCTCTCCAGCACTTGTCGAGCCTGAAAATAACATCAAATAACATCATTCCCCGTCAGTGGGAACAGTTCCCAGCACAACCCCCATCTCAGGAAACCCTGAGAATGACAGAGAAAAAGCCCACGCGCCATCCGAGTGCTCTGCTTTGAAAGGTAGAGTTGAGTTGGTGGGACTGGTGGAGTCACTCTGCAGCCGTGTCCCACGCCGGCCACTCTCCACCAAAATCCCCCAAGGATGCTGCTCTTACCTGCGTGTTCTGTGTGGGGATTTGCAACACAAGTGCCAGACTGTTGTGGTCGAAGTTTTCATCGAGGGCCAGGAGCGCCCCGTGCACCCCGCTCTCGACGAGGTTGTTCGCGTACTCGCGAAGCCCGATGGACTGGATCCAGTGAATGACCTGGTCGTTGGTCCACACCAAGACATCTGCAAAAAAGTGAGGGCATGTCTCAGGGCCAGCTCAGACCACGCTCTTGGTTGTGCAGGAACCTGATGATGTCCTGAAGCCCTTTCGCACTGCCCCAGGCTGATCCTGGGACTCTCCTTCCCAAGCCAGCCGCAATACCAGGTGCTCCAGTGCCAGGAACACCTCACTTCAATTTATCAAACTAAATGCTGAAATAACAGGCAGAAAACAACTGTGAAAATTAATCCTAAGAACTCACGGCTGCTGGTGTAATTAGGGGCATTATCAATAATGAGATGTAATCTAAGCAGCAGCCAGATGCGCAGGGAATCTCAGGACAGCCAACGAGGAAGGGGAGGCTGAGCAAGCTGGGGGGTGTCCTGAGCACCTGAAATGGGCAGAAGAAGATGATCTGATGCTCGGGCTGGATCTTTCCCGTCTTGACACCCCTCCTCCCTCCTCAAGCCTGACTGGGGTAAGCTGCATAAAGGCACTTGGAGCAATCTGTTGGGGAAATACTGCAGGGAGGTCCCCCTGGAGAACAGCCCTGTGGGTTGTTCAGAATGGTTGCTCGTTTTTCCCTAGGCAAATGCTGTGTTAAAAATAAGGGATAGGAGAGAGACCATCACTGGGCATCTCTTGGGAGGTTTCTCATCTCCTTTTCCAGAGCTGGATTGTGTATGTGGCTGCTGACCTTTGATTTCGTGTTGGGTCTCTTCTCGCCTCCTCTCGAGCTCTTTGCGGTCATAGTTGAGCCTCTTCAGGCACATGATGCCATACTGCAGGCTGGTGCTGCAAGGACACAAGATGTCACCCAACTCTCAGGGGGGCTCAGCATCGTGGCGCAGGTGGCTTGGAGGAACCCGCAGAGGGACCCACTTCCCTGCTTGCTCTCCATGAGCCCAAAGGATGCTTCGGTTCAGGATTGGGTCAGGACAGACACAACCCAAAGGGAAGTTCTTGGCCAGAAAATGGGGAATGTCCTTCCCTTCCATGGTAATTTCATCAGTTTTACCATGTTGTACCTGCCTGAGAGCGCATGGATCCAAATAACGATACTCCGTGCTTGGTGGCTGGAGAGGGAAGGGAGAACCAGCCCATGGGGGCTGCTCCAGGCTAAAGGGTTCATCCCCAGAGCAGGGAGGGCCCTAGCAGGCCCACGGACCACCCCATGGGTCGGGGTGGATGGTGGTACCCCACGACAGGGCTGGATACTGGTGCTTGAGCAAGGTGGTTGGGATGGCATAAGCCTTCTCCAAGCTGGGCTGCTGGCAGATGACTGCTCTGCCTGCCAGTGGGGTGCCAGGTGGGACGAGTCTTTATTTTTGCCCATGGTTTGCTCCACAAACAGGAGAGGGCTTGGACCTCTGCAATTTTGCTGCAAGGAGTGTGCTGAAGGAGAACATTTGCCCATATGAGCTGCCCAAGACCGGGTGGTTGAGTCTAGCCTAGAAGGGCCATCCTCCAGCACCGGGGCTGGTCAAGACAGTAGAGAATCCCTCAAATTGCTCCATCCTCTGCTCCATGTACAGACATTGCATCCCAGGGGCCTCCCAAAGGAGGGGACTCACCGGTGGAAGCTGTCCACCATCTTCAAGTGCACTCTGAGATCTTTCTTGGTGAGGTGGTCCAGCATCCGTGCATCAACAAGACACTCCATGAAGTAGCTGCGATACTGTGGGAGACCCAAGCTGGGCAGCCACTCGTTCCCAATCCACTCGTGGTTCATGTCCCCATAGGCCAGTGTCTGTGGAGAAGCAAATGGAGAAGCTAGGGAGAAACCAGGGCTTGGTGGAGCTGCAGACTCCCAGGAGACCAGTGACAGTTCAGTGCTGCAGTCTGGGGGTCACTGTCCTGAGGACCAAACCTGGCCCAGAGGAGTTTAACCCTAGTTTGTACTGAAGGAGCTGGAGGGAACAGTCCTGTTGGCCATGGTTTGTGTCCTACTGATGTCCCCCAAGGGGACAAGGCAGTAGCCAAAAAGCAAGCATAAGGGATAGTTGGACTTTATGACCAGCTTCTTCTGGAAAAAGCACATTCATGAAAGCTGAAACAACTAAGAAATAGGTTTCAGTGCATTCCCAACTAATTTTTAAGAAGCTTAGAAATCACCAAAAGATCTGCTTTATGACTTCAAAATGAAAAAAAGGTCAGTTTTGGGCAGAAAATCCATTCACTTTCACTGCAAACTGATTCTGGGTGCGAAAATGAAATAAAATCCACCAGAAGAAAAGTAAAACATTTGAGAGTGATCAAAACCAGAAGAGATGGATCCAAGCAGGACTTTTTCCTCCCACCTTTTCAGTTCATGAAAACGGTCTACATCCTGAACTTGGGGCCAAAAAAAAGGTGAAAACTAAACGTCTATGCAGCTAGAAACCTGCCTCCCATGCAGGGTGGCTGGTCACTCTTACGTTGGGGTTTTAGCACAGGATCTGTGTCTTACACAGAAAAAGTCACTCTGCCTGAAGCAGAGAAGGATGCTGCTTGATGGAAGGTCTCAGGAGGACCACCCCATGCTCGAGAGAGAGCTCAGAGGAGCAACCACAGGGTGCAGGCTCAGACTCCAAGCAGGACTTGGCAAATACTGATGTCCCAAGCTCGTCCCCTGGGTGCTCTGTGATGTCCAGCTCTCCCTCCCGTAACCACCCCACGTACCGCCCGCGGAAAAGGGACCTCACCTGTGCCCAGCTGCCTTCCTCTGTGTCCTAAGCGTGACACATGCGGCATGTCAATAGAAAGGACAGGTAAAGTCAGTACCCAGCAGCCCTGCACCGTGAAAACATGTGCCACGCGAGCCGAGTGTGGGACCCCTTGGCATGGTGTGACCCAGAGGGGATGGGGGTCGGTCTCACGGCTGCATGGCTCGGGGAGCTCAGCCTTGTTGACAGGGTGCTGGGGACACCCCGACCCCGCTGGGTCCAGGTTTCACCCCATCTCTCAGACAAGTAAGGAGGATACAGGATGAGACTTTTCTCATGGGCCTTGGGCTGGAGATGGCACAGACACTGGGGCGCATAAATCTTTCCTGGGAAATATGGGTAGTTTTTGGGTGCCCCAAAGACAGATGGATGCAGAGAGAAACCCAAGCTTCAGCTCATGGGTCACAACCCCCAGAGGGGCTGCCCAACTCAATTTGCTGCTTTTGTAGCTATTTCCTCCCTTGTCAACCCATGCTGGTTTTGCTCAACCTCACAAAACCTGCCCAAGAGAAAGCGTCACGTCCCTGCCGTGACTCCGAGCTCTCCTTCCCCAAAAGGCACCCGCCAGTTGCAGGTCTGTGCTACTCAACCAGCAGACAAAAGCTTCAAGAAAATGCCTAATTCACACAACAAATCCAAAATGCTGCCCCTGCTCTGAGACATGGACATGGGGTCATTAAGTTGCAGAGGGGAGCATGGCTACATCTTTCCAAAGGAGCCAGAGATTTTGAGAGCGTGGCCACATCCCTCCAAAGGGACCCCAAGCTATCAGCCAGTGGTAGGGACAGACAGTGGGGACAATACTTGGGTGTGCTAAGGTCAACGGGAGATTAGACAGTGATTTCTCTGGGTGCAGAATGACCAACGTGGGACTCAATCTCATGCATCTATCTTGAGATCCCTCTTGTTTTTTGTCTTTCATTTCTTCCCTCTAACTCACAACTGACAGACAAGCTGCTCTAGAAACCCAGCAAAACCCACAGGGAGTTGACAAAGGAAATGCATCTGATGGTTTTTAAGCCAGTTTTAGAAATTGTTGGGATATTAAAGGTTGAAAGATGGTTTCTAAACAGGTGCATGGTGCTGGCCAAGGGCTGACACATGAGATGCAGCAAAGATCCCCTTCCCTCCCAGGGTTTAGCATGTTAATGCACGCCCGGAGCTCAGCTCAGTAACTGATACGCCATGCGGCGGCAGTGGGGCTGGCCAGCCTCACCGTCTTGGTGGAAGTCGCCATGTTCTCCATCTCCTCATGGGTGACCCAGACGTTTCCGGAGGACTGCAGGGAAAAGAGCAGAGTGGTCAGGGTAAACCACCACGGAGCCATGGTCTCGGTTCACAACCGTGCTGGAAACAAGCCCGGCTTGGGCTGATGGAAGATCAGGCCACCCTTGCACTTGGAGCTACACCGGGGAGATCTCGCAGTGTCCTTGCAGCTTGGGCTGGTGGCACCCCACTGCCTGTGAAGACCCTGGGCTGTCCGTGCAGCCACAGAGAGCGCGGCAAGGACCAGTGGTGCTTCGGCTGGCCTTATACTTTGGTGTTATGCTCATGGAGTCTGTTTTTGACAGCTGTGACCCCAGCCATGGCCATCTGAGGGACACAGCACACTTGGGGTCTTTCTGCTGACTGCATTTCTACAGATGTGTCTTGGCATTACTGGGGCACCGTTAACCCTTCAGGGATTTTGGGGACCAGCACAAGACACAATCCCCCCCATCCGTTCCACGTCCTATCCAGGGCAGGCTGGGATCTGTGGTTGCTTTGACTTGCCCCAGGAATTTCACACGGTCCCAGCAAAAGGCTTGTATTGAACTGATTGAGGAAATGGCTGTGCATAACTGAGTTGGCCCTGTAAATCACGCATGTGCTGTTTGGGTGGGATTTTATCCTCGCAAGTGAAAACAGTCACCGAGCTTTCCGCTTTGCAGACTGCTTGGCAGGGTCAGCCTCTTGGTGACAGCCTCTGAGTGTGAGGACAAGAGCATCTGCTGGTGCCTCAAGGCAGGAAAGTGCTTCACACTCAATGGCCATAAATGATTTTTGTGCCTGAGGACAAGTGTCTGGTGGTTTGACCGGTCCATGAAGGAACGTCACCCCCTCCACAGCCATGCTCGCCTGTGACACTGGGACTCCCTGGAACTGATGGACCACTGTGGTCCCGAGGAGCTGGAGAAAGGGGGGAAACAAGTGTGTCGTCCTGCCCCAAGGAGGAGGGTCTGTATGGGAGAAGAGTGGGTTTGTGGCATAGAGCACTTACCGTCCGTGACGTGGGTGGTGCCGAGGGGCTCGTGAGCGAGACCATCTCCTGGATGGCCAGACGCAGCTTCAGGCGATGCAGCGCATTGCTGATGCCGATCTCCCTCTGGATCTCAGTGTCAGACAGGGCCGACATGATGGCTCCGCTCTTCACGTTGGCTCGGCAAGCGGCAACGTACCAGGCCGGCATCCCCACCCAGAGCTGCCAAAACAGGGCAAAGCCAGTGACTGCCCAGTTGACCTACCCTAACTTCCTCTGGTAAGATCAAGGCCTTGTTTGAAGCTCAGTATCAAAGTTGGATACCCATGTGGGATTCCTTTTTTGTTTGTACCTTGCACAGATGGCCTGCGGGCAGCCCAGCATCCTTACATCTGATGGACACAGCACGGGGAAAGAGCACTCACTGAGTCTTTCAACTCAAAGCTCTACTCAAACCACAACTCTACAGAATATGTGAGGGATCTGGGGATCTGCTCTGCTCCCCCAGATTTTGCAACCACCAACCCTGTGCATGGACCAAGCATGGTGAGACTGCGGGGTGCCGTACCGCTGCCGGGGGAGCACACTACAGACCGGTGCTGACTGCCAAGCCATTGGTGCATGGGGACGATGCACGGGCGCGCTCTGCCTCACCTCCAGCCAGGAGACAACAGTGGGGCCATCCCAGTGAGCAAAGGGCAATCCTTTCCTCCGAGCCTCTTCCAGGAGTTCGTGCCTGGAGGGAACAGAAGCAGAACAGTGATTTATTGGGGGCTTGTGGGGAAAGGAGCAGCTCTTGAAAGGGAATAGACCATGGGTAATAATAACCAGCTGGTAGCGAAGCAATAAAGGAGCTAACAGGGCTCAAGAGAGGGTGAAGATGAGAAGTCTTTCCAGCAATTCCCAGTCCCATGCCATGGCTTCTCAGCCATCAGGCAGGACATTTTCTTGTTGGGGCAGGGAAGGAGGTTCACTCACTTCTTCCGCAGGCGCCGATCCTTCTCGGCCTGAGCACCCAGCTTGCCAAGTCCCAGAGGGTCCTGCATACCCACCTCCATGTCGGTCAGCAGCACTGTTGGGCAAGCAAGACATCCTCACGTCAGTGTCATATCCCATGGGTTCAGTGTGGGCACTGCCACAGTCCCCATGCTAGGGTGTTGGGGATGCACAATTGTGGCACAGGAGGTGACAGTCTCCATTTCGAACCCACCCCCACAGCCCCCTTGCATCCCTGGGAAGCCCAAGGGGATCCCCGCTTGCCATCCCTCCCATTTCAAGATGCTCAACATCGAAGCAGTAAAGGATTTAGGAGTGGAAAAGCAGCTCCCACCAAAGGGCTGTGCAAAATCAAGAAGGTCCCACAGGGAGGGAAGCAGATTTGGGGACATAACAGATAAGATACAGTGATGGGGGGGTCCCTATCCTCACTGCAGCTCTTGCAGAGTATTAAGACTGATACCACGCTCAGGGCAGAAAGGGCCGCGGGGCAGAAAGCACCAGGACCCAACTGCCCTGAAGCTGCAGGGAGCCCAGAGCCAGTGGCCCCAACATCCCCAAACCAGCAGGGGTGTCCCTGCTCCTCCGCCTGTCACCCCAACAGTACCCCAAAGCCAGACAGTGCCAGGAGGCATGCAGAGAGCCTGGCTGAGAGGACGCCCGCCCGGCACGGATGGGAATAGGGCTGCTCACAGACCCTGCCCTGTGGCCCCTTCTCTGCTCAGCTGAATCAAGCGACCCTTCTCTTTTTTCCCGAACAAGCGCCCGATGGAGGATTTGATCCCCTTCCTCTTGGAGCCCTTGTGCAGGGAGTCCTGGCTGCTGTTGCTGCTGGGGTTGCTGGCCTGCTCCTCCAGCGAGCTGGGGATGGAGGAGGGAGAGGAACAGCAAAGCCTTTAGGTTATTCCTGAGCAGCGCACAAGCCATGGCAAACCCCAGACCGTCCCACAGTCCCACGCTTGCCCCATGTAAATCCTCAAGCCAACAGAGCAGGCACTGGTGTGAGATCCAAAGGGTGCTCTACATACCTCTTCCCATCCTCCTGACTTAGCGCAGGGTGGCCCAGCTTCTCCAGCCGCAACGTCCTGGGTGAGGATGGGGGGGACGTCTCACATTTGATGGTGGTTTTATCCTCTCGGCTTTCATCCCGAGCTGCAGGCGACTGAACAAGCGGAGAAGCCATGAGGCTGGGAGGCCAAAACCCAGCTCCATCTTTGCCCTGCTGCCTGCCTCTCTCTTGCTCCATGGAGGCATGGCCAAAAGAGCCACCAGGGCCCTGAGGCTTTGCCACGCTCCAGGATTGGCCTGAATTAGAGCTCTGGCAATGGCTCGAGATGCCCAAGCAGATGGGGAGGATGTGGCCGTATGGCCAAGATCCTGGGAATAGGGAGGAGAGAGGATGCAGCCCCATGGTCCAGGTCAGAGTGTGGGGACAGAAGCTGCTGGCCCTCAGCAGAGGGCTCTGAGGAGCACAGATGGGAATGTCCCAAAGACACCCTGTCGCCAGAGGGGACACACAATGTTTGAGGACCCAGTGGCTTTCTGAACCTCCCCATGTCCTGCCAGACCCCCCAGGTTGCCAGCTGGCACATCTCCAAGCACCTTATGGGATCCCCATGATCCTCCTGTTGAATCCCTGGGGTCCCCAGCTCCATCCCACGCCTGCTGCACCCTGACCTGGTGTGGACAAAGCCAGGAGCAGGCTGGAAAAGGGGCTTGGACAAAAACCAACGGGATGGGAACCACTCACTAGCAGTTTCCTCCGGTGCTTCCTCAAGTCGCTGGGCTGATTGCAAGGGGGAAAGCGAGAGAGACACAGAAAGAGGGGCAGTTAATGGAGACCCCCCCCCAGACCAGCCCCAGGGCCAGGCGTGCCAGGCTGGGAGACAGCAAACATGGGCACCCCCATTCCACATCACCCTCCTGCACACCCGAGCAGATGCTGGGGCATCGCTCCCACCCCAGGCAGCCACATGCACACCCTAACCAGCCCCTCATCCACCCCGCACGCCTCCTCACCAACGTCATGATCCCCATGCGGTCGAGGTCCTGAGCGGCACTGCGGGAGGACAGCTTGGGGGTGGAGCGGCCGCTGAGCGGTGGGGACGAGCTGGCCAGGGACAGGGCCGTCAGCGAGGTGGGGATGGAAGCCCTTTTGCAAAGTTGGGTGAGATTGAGGCCCTCCATGCTGCCGCTCGTGACGCGGGTCTCCAGCTCCTCCGCGCGGAGTTCGGTTGACTCCTTCTCCTCTTGGATCATCCTGGGGGAGCAGCAGGGCTCAGGGCTCCTGGCTCCCCACCTTTCTGGGGTGCTCCCAAGTCATCTCACACCTCTCAGCCGTGGGACTTCCCTATCCTGGGAAAATGCACCTCGGGTGCTGTGACTTGAGCCTCCGATCTCCAGGAATGGCAGCAAGACCCATCGGGATCCACATAAACCAGTGCTGAGACACAGCACAATTTCTTTTAATATTCATGGGGGGCTTTTTTTTTTAACTAATGATCCTTTCTGTGAGCCAGCACTGGTGCAGCTGAGGGACAGGGAGCCACATGCAGGAAGGATCAAGGAGCCATTTCCCTGGCTGAAGCTGGACCAAGACATCAATTTTAGGGCATGAGAGCCTCCTCCCACCACCTGGCAGTTCGTGGCCCCCCAGAGCCATTTCAGAGCAAGGCAGTGGCAGTTTTTGGGCACGGCTGCTACCTGATCTCCTCATTGATGGCATCCAGCTGCTCCTGGAGCATCATGGCCAACGTCTGGGCATCCGAATGCCCGCCGGGGGACAGCACGTCCATGGAGCTGAAGAGTGTCTCGCGGTCATCCTCGTCCACATCGGAGATCTCGGGGTCGCTGTCAAAGGCGTGAGGCCCTGTGGCCAGGACGCCGCCTGCCTGGGCCTGCTCCCAGTCCTGGGGGAACAAGGTCCACTGGTCCCACACGGCATTCCCATGTCTCCAAAAGCCAAACTGGAGGCCTCCACACAACAGTCACATCTCAACGCAATCCCAGTGGGGAAATCCCTCCTACCATGCTATCCCCATCCACGCACCAGGTGAAGGAAATTGCCCCATGTCCCCAAATCAGGGACACGTGAGACCAATGTGCAAGGCAGGAGGAAACCCCAACCCCAACTCTGACCCACGCTGGCATGAAGATGGATTACCTTGGCTGACTCCTCTCGCCGGGCGAATCGGCCCTTCTGCGGTCGAGTCCCAAAGGGCTCGGCGGGGGCATGGACCACAGCGCTCAGTGGGAAGCGCAGGTCTGTGGCGCTGCCCATATGGGACCTGGGGAGAAAGAGCCCTGTTGTGGACACTGCTCCATGCAAGAATGCCCCTGTCCCCGGGCTGCTCCCCTCGCAGCCCAGGCTAGCTCAGGACAGAGGAGGAGGACGAGACCACTCCGGGATGCCCACCCCAGCGATGCTTGCCTGCTCTGCATGAAATGATGCAAAACCAGGCTCCAGAGAAAGGTGCCCCATTCCCCCCACGCTGGCCCTGGAGATGTGCTCACAGACTATAGGAAGCTCAGCCCTGGGCCCTACCCTGCTGCTGCTTCCCCCTTCGCTGCAGTACCCACTGGGGCATCCAGCCCGTTCTGGCCAAAACCACCCAGCGCAGTGGGTCTGCTGTGAAGCCGTGGGCCCTCCTGTCCTCCCCTCTCAAGAACAGCTTGCACCTCCTAACATGTACAGCACATCTTGTGCCCATCTTCTCCATCCCCATGGTACAGAACAGGGGCCAGCCAGGGAGCTCTTCTCCTTCTTTTTATGTTTCCTTCAACATTTTCATGAAAAAAAACCCCGATGAATAAAATCCCATTTGAAACAGATCTTCCAGGTGCAGGGACATGAGCATTGTTTGGGATCTCCCAGCAGAAATCGGCTGGGACTTCTTCATCCTCCTCCTCCACGCTTGGGCTGGTGCTCGGAGCCGGGTCCCCATGCCAGGCAGAGCAACGCAGCAGCTGCTGTTGGACACGAGGCCACTTTCTGCCTCTCGTGGTACTCATTGCATGTCTCCACGTTGCCTGGTTGCTCCTCCTCGCCCTGAAGACCCAACCACGCAGCTGAGCAAAGCACCTTCCCGGAGCATGGGGTCATTACTCCCTATATGCATTGCCATAGGAGGCGTGAGAGTTTTTTGATTTAAGATGACAAAAGCAGTTGTCCAGAGCAGATCAAGGTTTTTCCACCATGGTGGGTCTGGTTTCCAGTGCAGATATAGATCTGGGCTCCCCACATCCTACTGAGCCCAGACAAAACCACTAACATGAGCAGCTTGGCTTGGTGTCAGCTTGGTGTTTGCAGACGAAGGCACAGACCGAGTTTCAAGGGGATTTAAGCTGTGGAGCCGCTGACAAGCTGCTCCCAAGCTAAAAACAGATAAAGGCGTCTTAGACAAAAGCTGACATTTCAGCTGGGGGATTATTCTGGTCTCTGTAACTCAAGCTTTCTGCTGAATTTTCCTCCAAGAAATTAAAAAAAACAAAAAAATCGCCCGTTCTGTTTTTACAGACCCGTACAAAGAGGTCCCACACATGCTCCAGACACTCCTCTGGCACTCAGCTATCCTTCATCCTCACAAGCTCTTCCTTCCTCTCCCCATTTCTTCTCTCCACGACAGATACAGGACCTCCAGGCCTTCTCCTCTCTGCCACAGCTGCTGACAGATTTGAAGCTGGTTACACAGGTTCCTTTCCATCTTTCCCAGCCTTCCTGAGGGGATAATTTTCCCCACTGGTGGTCACTCTCACTGATCGCTCACTGCCTCTAATCCACGTCGAAAGTGCTCAGGAGAGGATGTGGTCTCCCAGGCGGCCGCAGCAACGCAGTGGGGTGCATGTCGTGCTGGCATCCTCCTCTTCTAACCCCCTGGTTTCTTGCAGTGGTGCTGGGTACCCCGGTCAGTGCTGGAGGCTGAGACCCGATGGACTCACCTCTCCTCCTGGTGCTCTGGGCTGGGACCTCCCCATCTCCCAGCTGACTTTAAATGAAAGGGTGTGGGAGGACCATTGTAGAGAGAAGGGGGAAAAAAGCGGGGGGTGTCATTCTCCTTTGCCTGCAACACCTCAAAAGAGATTCCTCCTTCTCCACCAGCCCATCCCCAGCACGCCACAGGGGGAAAGGCGTTTCGTGAACATACAGTTTTCATAGAAAATTAAGCCCTAAGTCCTTTGTGCAGAAAAGGAAACAATGCCCAGTGGGTTTTTGCCCTTAGAAGAGCAATTTTGGGCCATTCAGTTAGGCTGAGCTATTCTCAACAGCCTGTGTCCCACCTCAGGACAAATTAATGGTGGGGACAGCACAGCCGGAGCCGACCCTGCTGAGATGAACCACTCTGCAGCCCTGCACTGAGGTTTGGTGAAACCAGAAATGCCTGATGCCAACGTCATTTTGGGACCCTAAAAGCCGTGAGTGCAGGATGCAAGCGGGGTGTGCACAGGCCGGCGGGGTTTTGGCAGGCGGCCCTTACCTTGCGTGCACGCTCTCCACGAATGTCCCACTTCTGGTCTTGAGCTGATCGACCTCCAGCCTCAGTTTGTCAATCTCGTCGGACAACCGTCGCTGTTCAGGGTGAGACAAGAGACAGGCAGGGGTTGGTTTTGCTCTGAAGAGCGGCCAGGTTTGGGGCAATCCACATCCTTAGCTATTTCCAAGTTTATATTCCCTTTAAAAATCCCCATCCCAGGTTTAAAGCACCTTTGACACATCGGTAAAGAAACAGCTCATGCAGGCGACAGTGAATGACGATGCTGGGGTGATGCCGTGAAGGGAGGAAGTGATCACAGGCCAGACAGACAGACACACGCGTGCTCGAAGCGATGCTGGTTTGAGAGGTGAAGGAAAATCGTTCCCACTAGGATGCTCTGGTTTTGCTCCAGACTGCACGTGCACATTCGCCTTGGCAAAGGGCCGGCAGTGAGGGACCCGCTAGCCAAATTTGACGCTGGCCCTGTCCCTCCTGCTGCCAACCCCATCCTCATCGGGAACCTGTGCCTGCACTAAGCGGCCGTCCTGTCCTGTGGGAGATGCGAGGTGGGAGGCTGCGGGCGGGCAGGGAGGCAGGGGAGACGGGATCCTCCAGGCACAGCAGGATCCAGTCCTGTGGGCAAACAGGCTGAACCAGGGTGGGCAACATGCAGGCAGTGTCATGCGAGTCTCCGAGCTTTGCCTCTGCCTGGAGTAGAGCAGCCATGGCTGGGAAACGCAAGCGGTGCCCGCACATCCTCGCCGCGGGCAGGGAGCATCTGGGAGAGCAAGGCTCTGGGCAAGGGGGAAAGCAGCCCCCTGATCGCCCCAACCATGCATGAAACATGGGGCACATCCCAAAAGCTCGCCTTGCTTCAAAAAGCTGCAACCCTCCAGCTTTCCAGCACAGGTCAACATGGACTCGTGTTGCAGACCCTACTTAGATGCTTTATCTGAGTGCAGGGGAGGTGCGAAGACCTACGGGGCCTTCTGCAAGCTGGGCATGGAGCAGATCTTCCCCCCCAGTTCGAGTGAGGGGGTCGGGAAAGCCTTGGGGGTGAAGGGGACGTGGCTGCCTGAGCAGCACTCTCCCTCGCAGCCAGGCTGCACCAAGGAGCGCTGGGGCAAACCCTCCTCTAGACACGTGGGCGAAGCCACCCCGGCCTCGCTGCCATCCTCGGCTGGGGGTCGGGGATGGATGAGCGTGATAGAAATATGGAGACGGGACTGAACGTGCCTGTTAGGGAACCGAACCGGGGGTCTCCGGGGAGGTGGGTGGCAGCTTCCATCCAGCCACTGCGTGGGTTAGTTTGTGGCCTCCTGCTGCTGGGCGCTTTGGGATCCCAGCTCCTCCGAAACTAGGGTATTTTAGGAGGCGTGGCTGCCACTAGCCGGGGATTAGGAGTGAGGAAACGCAGTCACTAGGGCAGGCTCCCTGCAGCGGCATTTACCTTGTCGTGCTGGTGTTCCTCTATCTGCTTTTGGGTATTTTCCAGCTCTTGTAACAATGTGTTCTTTGCAAAACGAAATAAAAGAAAAGGGAACAAAAACAGGAAAGAAAAAGAGAGACCGTTAGAAAACGGCCGTGCAGCCTCCCGGGAACGGCCAGCTTGGAATCGCTGCGTGGACGGTGTGACGGATGCCTGGCAGGAGGTACGGCAATGGCTCCCTGATCTAGTCCTCACCTACCTGCCTGTGAACCGGTCTCCTCAAGAGAGACCTCACCTACCTGCTGCAAACCTCCTGCTCCTCAAGCAGGGCTGCCGGAGCTCAACTCCTGCCCCACACTGGGGCCAGGGCATGGCCATGGAGGGCAAGCGGCGATTAGAGTTTGATGGGCAGGGCTTGAAGATTAGGAAATGTGTCTGAGAGGAGATCAACTCCTCAAGCAGCTGGATCAAGGGCAAAAATGTCCCCTACATCTAAGCTAGGGAATAGGCAGGGGGAAAAGAAGATGCGTTTGCAACTGCCTGACCTTGTGCTCTTTTTTGGGAGGTGCTGGCAGGCAAATAGCATCATTTTTGCCCGTGGAAGACCTGGAGAAACTCTCTGGGTGAGCCAGTGCTGGCAGCAGGCTGGGGAGCAGATAATGCCCCTTTGCAAGGTGCTATCGCTCTGGTCCCTGTTGCTTGCTGGGGTGGGAATATGGACTCAGCCCCATCTGTTGGGTCCTGCTTTTTATTCAGAGCTACTCAGACATCTGCTGAATGACTGGACATGCTGGCACAACCGGGTCTGGTTGGGGACAGGAGGCACAGAGCAGCAGGGAGACAGACCCGGTCCTGGAGGGATCAGCTGGGGGACTGACTTGTGCTCTGACTTGCTAAGGGGAGCCTGGTCCCTGCAGGAACCCAAATAGAGGTGAATTATCAAGGGCTGACCTCCCATTGGCATTGCGAAGTTAATCCTTGCTCTGAGCCACCTGCTCTCCCAGCTAATTGCATTCGTGCTGGGGCAGCAGCAACTCCAGCTGGCTTCCCAAAGGAAAGCCCAGTTCCCCAGGAGGAGCGGGATGGGAGCTGGGAGGATGCTCATGGACTCTGCCCTGGCTTGGAGAAGGCAGATCAGTCCAGGGTTGGGAGACAGGAAAGTTTCAAGGCAGCATGTGGAAGGGATGGGCAGGTGGGAGAGGATGAATGCTGCATTTTCTCCTGCAAAATGCAGTAGGGTTTTGCTCCGACAGCCGGGCGCAGGCTGCAGTTGAGGCTGCGCCAGAAGAGACACAGGGAAGTGAGGGAACGGAGCAGGACAAATGCTGCTGCTGTTGGAGGTGAAAGGCGGTGGGGAGTGGGTCTTACCGGGCAAGGGCCAGCTGGAGGCGAGGGTGCGATGCAGAGCACGCTTCCCTGCGCTCCCACCAGTCCCAGCACCCGGCTGGCATCCTGCACGTGATCATTTCTCCATCCCTGTGCAGGTACTTCCAAACCCCTGTGCTGTAGCTGGCCGAGGCTCTGTGCCGGAGGGGCTGCAGACCCCTCGACCCCTCACCAGCCCCCCAGAGGACCCCCTGCCCCCCAGCCACTACCTTCTCCTCCAAGGCCGCCATCCTTTCCTTGAGGTGCAGCTGCAGCCGTTCATTGGACTCGCTCAGCAGACGGTCCACGGTGTCCGAGAGCCGCTTGTTGTGCTCCTCGTTCATCTTCTCCCGCTGGCGGGCCTGCAAGGGCAAACAGCGACCGGTCACGTCAGATCCAGCAGATGTGCTCCTCCTGCCACGAGGGGCTCAGTGCCCTCCTGCCATCCCGTGCCTGCTGGTGGTCTCAGAGCTGATCTACTAGGCCCAGCTTTTGGGGACAAATTCACCCCTTACAGCACAGATCAGACGCTGCACTGGGGCTCTCCTGGTCTCTGCCATTTCTCAGCCAGGGATGAAGAGGAGAGAGGACAAGATCCAAAAAGATCCTGCCTGCCTCAAGAAAGTTTGACCTGTGTATCTGCCAGGGACAGCCACACTGGGGGCACATTCCAGACCCCAGTGGGGGACGATCCCCTGGATTTGCAAAGGTCTCTCCAAATCTCTGCCCTAGGCCAAAACAACTAGGGGCTTCCCCAGGGACACACGCTGTATTGCCACCTGGGTGACCTGAGAAATGGGTATCACAATCATCTCCTGCGTGGACAGCCCAGCCACGGGCTAAGGAGCACAGCGGGGATTGTGCGTCCCGTGACACATCAGCTCGGCCTCCCTGTCTTCTGGAGGGGCAACACCCTTTGTTCCCAGCACCCATCGGTCTCGCCCTGCTGCTGATCCAAGCTGGGGGGAAGACCAGCTGGAGCTTCCCTCCCTGGCCTGCATTTGGGGTCGGAGCTTGGCCCAGGGGGAGATGCTGGGAGAGGAGTGGATGTGGCAAACTAAGAGCAAGACTTGGATGCCTGGGAGAGGGGGAAATCACAGCAGTGAGTGTCATGAGCTCCTGGGTGGCTCTAGTTTAAGAGATCCTGGATGGGAAAGGATAACCAGTCTCCTCTCCCCATCCTGCTTCAGAGATACCAGCAAGCCAGCCCTTTGTGGTGTGCCCAGGTACCCAGACACCATGGCAAGGGGGAGCCAAGGCTGGATCAGGACCCGCAAGGACTCCCCAGTCCAGGCTGAGCAGCGCTTACCCTGGCCAGCTCCTGGTTCTTCTCCTCCAGCTGACTCTCCAGCTGCCGGAGGTGCTCCTCGATGCTCCCATGCCTCTCTTCTGCCTGGGAAAAGCAGAGCAGCGCTCTCGGATGCCGCTCCCCAAAGCCATGTGGGCCCTCCTGCATCCCTCCGTCCATCCCTGCATCTGCATCCTTCCCTGGGATGCGGCACTCCCTCCCACTGCCTGCATCCCCAATGCCATGGTTCACCGTGTGCTGTGAGCCCAAAACAGCCCTGCTAGCAAGGTGATGGGAGATGGAGGTGCTCTGTGAGCACCTTGGCACCAGTTCCAGCACCTGGGAAGGACAGGGCTGGCCATATCCACACCTCCCTCCAGGCCTGCAGCCTCCCAGATCCAGCTTGGGTCCTTCCTCTTCCCCCTCATCCCAGAGTGGTCCCAACACAAGCTGAAGGCCACTCAGATCAACTGAGGGCCATCTCTGCCTTGGAGAAAGGAGCTGAGCGAAGGGACATGTCAGGAGCTTTAAAAACCATGCATTGTCCCTGCAGCCACAGGAGAGGCAGGGGACAGCAAAGCTCAGAGGCTGGGAATGACAGCAGGGTGCCTCGGGCCTGCCAGGGGCTTCATCGCTGCAGGGCGGTGGTCAGACCTGCCTCTTCCTCTGGTTCCTGCACTCCGTTCTGGCTCTGGTCCCCAATCACCCCGCACACTTGCCTTGGTGAGTGCGGCGATGCGCTGGGCCAGCTCCGCTTCCACCTCGGGCAGCGTCTCTGCCTTCCGCATTGTCTGCTGCAGCTTCTGCTCCGCCAGCTCCAGCAGCTCCTGCAAGTGCCGGGCTTTCTCCTCGCACTGCGGGACAGAGCAGGATGGGTGCCTGGCACCAAGGCTTGCCTGCTTCTCCCTCCCAAGTCCCCAGGGTAGTGGGAGCCTTTGGGTCCAAGCTTTGGTACCTGGCGGTGCAGGGACTCCTTGTTGGCCAACTCGCTTTCCAGCTTGTCATTGAGGTCATGGATGGAGGTGGCTTCTCGCTGGGCTGCCAGGTAGCGTTTTTCCAGTGTGGTGATCCTCTCCTCCATGTCCTCTTTCTGAGCCAGGGCCTGGGGAAGTGATAGGGCTGTCACATCCTGGTCTGTGACCACCGATTTGAGAACAACTGGGCCTCCCAGCTCCTGTGAGCCTGGTACACCCCCGAGTCCAAGCATGCAATGCAAACCCTGCTCTGCACAGGAATGAGGGACGACAGAGTGGGACAGCGATAAAGGGAGAGTCAGGCAATCACAGGAAAACCTTCTAGCACGGACACAGCTCACTGCCCCAGGTCTGCAGCACGCCTGGGTATGTTGGTGTCTGCTTATAACCTCAGGGAAGTTCTGCTGATGGACTTGGGGACAATCTCCCAAAGGCAGTGGCCTCTTTTGGGGGACACTGGCCTTTACCCTGCATACAACAGGGATTACAATCCCTTCCCAACCCAGAGCATGTGGAAGCTGCTGTGAATGTCTCTGCAACTGCAAGAGGCTTGGAAGCACGAGAGGGTAGTGTCTAACCTCTCGGAGGTCCCTCTGGTACTTGCTGCTCATCTCCTCCGATTTGATCAGATCCTTCCTGGCGGTGCCCAGATCCTCCTCCAGCTCGGTGACGCTGGCAGCCAACGCAGAGATGCGCTCCTTGGCCTGGACCACTTCGAAATTCTGCTTCTCCAGGAGCTCTTGCAGCTCCACCACCCGCCCTGCCTCATCCTCTGGGTGGACAGAGCCGTTGGAGAGCCGCTGCAAGGCAGCAGAGAGGGAGGTAGATGCCCAGCTGCCCCATAGCACGGGCTCACATTGCCTGCGGCTACGCAATGGGGGAACATGGCCCTGCAGGGACCCAGCAAAGTGGTGGGGAGTGGAGACATGGGGCTCCGGGACCCACTGTCAACAGTCTCCACTAGCCAGGGATGTGGCTTCTCACAGGCATGATGGAATAGGGACGGCTGAGGGCCTCCCAGAGCGTCTCTGGGAAGCAGAGCCCCTAGGAGCATCCGAGCAGGAGCCCAAATCCCCCTCCATTCAGAAGTGGCCTGTATCCACCAGAAAGGGCATTTCCCAGGGAGTTGGACCCAGGGGAGAGGGAAAAAGGTTTTCAGCACCCTGGAGCCAGTGACAAGAGAGTTGGAGAAACGATGGCCTCAGTGAGCATGGTCAGAGCAGGGGTTTCTGGGGCTCTCACCTTCCAGGGAAGCTTCTGCGCTGGCTCCTTGGGCTCCCTCTCATCCCGCTCACCCACCGGGGCCTCCCGCGCGGTGCCTTGCTGCAGAGCTGCCACCTGCATGACAACATGGCTTAATTAATGAGAGAAAGCAGATGAGACCAGCTGGTCCGGCTGCGGGGGGGGGCCAACCCCGGGGCACCACCGTCGGATGGGGCCAGCGGGTCCGGCTGCGGGTGAGGCCAACCCCTGGTGCACCCAGGTCTGCAACTGGCTTCCTGCTGGCTTCCTCCACCGTCATATTCAGCTAGTGACTATGGCTGGGGGGAGACTGGAGGGATAGGGTGAAGAAGAGAGGGGAAGGCAGAGATGCTGTGAAGGCTCAGCACTGATGGAGAATGAAGCCACGTCTTGCATGGACACCGTGGTGCTTGCTACAGGTACGCAAAGAGCCCGAGCCCCAGCAGTAAGGTTTTCCCGGTGAGCCCTCGGGGACCTGAGACCTGCATCCCAGGACTCCCCCCCAACTCATTTCACTAGTTTGCAGCCAGACAGACTCCAAACCCGGGGCAGATGTAGCCAGCAGGAGCAGGGGATAAGCACTGACATCGCACCCTGCTCTGCTGGGGGAGGATGGGGACAGGTCCCTGCAAGGTGACCGAAAGCCAGGCACTGCCTCCCCACCAAGCCTGGGGAAGTACCATGAGACACATCCTGGGAACTAGAAATAGGAGCAAAATTTGGCCAGGCAGAGGCTGTAAGGATGGCTCTTTCCTTTTGGCAGTGGTGGCTGGGCACAAACTTCAGGAAGGAAAACAGGGTTAATATCTCTCCAAGACGAAAAGGGCTAGGTGTTGGGGACAGCGAAGTCCCCATGCCAGGGCCCGAGCAAGGAAGGAGATGGGGGATGCAAGATGAGGTGCTCGGAGCAGCGAGCTTTGGGTCTCTGCTGAGGCAGGGAAAATCCCAAGTCACTCTCAGCCCCCTGAAATGATTCAAGTTCAGGTTGCTTTTGTCAGTGAAATGAACACCAAACAGCAGAGGAAACCTTGCCCGCGAGACAATATATATTTACAGAATATTTACAAGGTTTCCTTAAATACAGCCAATCCTTCATGTAAATAGCAATTTTAGAATAAAAGCCTTATATTAAAAATGCCCAAATGCCATTTCTCTGATCTGCACGATCATGTGAGGGTGATACGTCAGCAAATTCAACATGAATTCACAAATGCAACACGGAGCAGTCCCAGCCCAGCGGGTGCCCCAGCAAGGGCCCAGGGTAGGCCGCCCAAATGCCTCTTACCTGCCGATGGGCATCCACGAGCTGCTCCTCCAAGGTTGCCACTCGCTCTAAGGCTGCTCGCAAGCGTTCCCTGACCTGCAGTCATGTAAGATAATGGGAAAGGCCATTATTTATCTGTGATGAGGCTGCCCGGGATCTAGGCAAGCTCCCAGCCCCTTTTGTCTGGCTGACAGCCAGGCTCAGGTGGATTCACGTCCAGAGCACATGCTCAGGGATGCTCCAGCCCGTCGCCTGGGAGAGCAAAAGCATGTTGGAGAGGAACAGCCTGGGCCAAGCTGACTCTTGCAGACCTACTGCCAGGACAGCTTGAAGACATCTTTTAGCAGAGCAAGGAAATGCTTGAGGCAAATGAATCAGGAGGAACAATAAGAGTTGTAACGCAAAGACTGAACCAGGGTGCCAAATGCCGGTGCTCACCACCACCACGAATGACCCAGGGAAGCAAGTTCCCCATCCCCGACAGCCTCAAACCCACAGCATCCACTTGGCAGCCCCACCAGCTCCTAAAATGAGGGTGCTGCAGCTTTTGGATATTCAAGACCTTCCTCCTGAGGGACCCCAGGTCACCACCCAGCTTCACAATAAAAAATGGCATCCAGCGGGAGAGAGGAGGAGGGTTGGGAGAAGGTCAGCTCTGAGCAGGGGATGCTCATGGAGTGAGCCAGGAGAGGTCCCAGCAACATGTCTCACCTTTTCATCTAGTGCCTTGTGATGCTCAAAGAGTGACTTGAGCGCCTTGAGCACCTCAACCTCACTGGAAACCCCGGACGGCGACTGGGCCTGACGCTTGACCACGGTCATCCTCAGGGACCGCTCATGCCTCGACACCAGGCACTCCAGGTGCTCCAGCAAGAGCTGCAAGAGGGCAAGCATGAGGCTCTCACCACCCCAGGAGCTGGCGATGCTGGTGTCGGCCCAGCAGCTTGTGGTGTCCCACATTTCTGAGGACAGACAGCAGGTTTTATATGCTTACCCGGGTATTATTGCGCTCGGCTTTCAGCTCCGAGATCTCCTCTTCCCTCTCCAGGAGCTGCTCCCGGCACGCACTGAGCTCCCGCGTCAGCGTTGCAAACTCCTGCAGAAATCAGGGCATGGCCGTGAGCAGGGAATATGGGATGGGGACGAAGCCAGCGTCCGGGCCCCACTGCTGGGACCTCCAGCACAGAGCATTTCCCATCCAAACCCAACCAGTGAGAGATGGGGACACCGAGGGGAACACTGAGAAATCAGTGGAGAAGCACAGCCAGGCTGGGAGGTGATCTATTCCTGGCTTCCCTAAATGCTTTGGAGAAGGGAGAACACAGCATCCCAGTATTTATCCATTTGGTTTGATATCCAACGACACAAGAAACTACTCTACAGCTCTGGATGGCATTTAAAGCATCCGGTCAAGGCCACCAGCATGCTCCCATCCCCTCTGTCCCCTTGATGCAATCCAGCAGAGCATCCACCTTGGAGCATCCCATCAGGCTAAAACTCATCGCAAAGCCACAGCCGGCCAGGATGGGTCCCCTGGCCCCAAACCAGCCTCTGCCATGGCCTCAGGATCTGGCATCATCCAAAATCTCCTTCCAAAGGAAAGAGCAAGATCTGCCCCAGTCCAGCATGTGGGGCCCCATCAAGCTTCTTATGGGGCACACCCAAGCCCCAAATCCCAGCTGAGAGAGATGGGGCACAGCAGGAGATGTGGCAGGTGCCACCAGTCCTTGCTCCAGTCACCGCTCCCTCCAGGGGGGTGACAGCCAGCAAGGAAAAGCCGTGCAGAGAGTGATGCCAAAGCAGAGCTGCAAAGCTAGCGCATCCTTTGGGATACGATGGGCTCCTCAGAAATAGAGCGATCCCACTTGTGACTGTGTCGGAGCTAAAAGGAAACCTACTGTGAAGTTCCTAGGATGCAGGAGAGTTCATTTTCCCTTAAAAAATGAGAACCAAGCACCTGGCTTAGCCCAGAAGCACTCTCCCATTGCTCCCAGTTGCTCTTTCAGTTGCCAAGTGGTGCCAGGGCTAAGCGACATTTTGCAGCTGGGATTTTTTGGGGTGAAAAATGCAAATGTGTAAACGCTTCATGAATTTACACCACTTTCACAGTGTTGTTGAGAAAAACTTAAAAAGGAAAAGGGTTTCAGGAGAAGCTGAGAACGATTTGATTGAGCATTAACAAACCAAATTTCAACTGGGGGTTGAGAGTGGTTTTACAGCGTGAAATTCTTTTTCATTTTAATTTTCAAGTTAAACAAATAAAAACCCTTCAAACTGAAGCAAAATGTTGAGGCTTAGATTGAATCAAATGATCTGCTCAGCTCAAAGTGAAACCCCTTGCAACAGCTGACATCCCTCCAAGAAATCAAGAGCTTTTTAATCTCTGTCCCAGCTAGATTTTCCCTCTCTCTTCCCACCCCAAACTGCTCGCACTGCTGTGATTTTTAGCCTGGGCTTGGTGGCGACGGTGGTGTCACTGGTGATGCTGAGACCCCACAGCGGGACAGGACCTGAGCATGCCGCAATGTGGAGGAAGAGAAAGAGCAATCACAGCAGTCGAAGTCAGTCATCGTTCCTGTAAACAGCTGCTTTTCTGCCCATCACCATGCCTCAGGGCTGCTGCCATCCTTGTCCCAGCATCGCCTCAGGACCTGAGTCCCCCGGCTCCTTTCCAGCCTCACTCCTGCCCCATCGCTTCCCCAGGGACTGCTCCAGCCCTGGGGTCAGCCCTGTCCCCATCAGTTGTCCCCCAAATGGGTCACAGCACCTCAAACCTCCGTCACCAGCCCCTGCCATGCCCAGGTATCATCCCACGCTTGCTCTCGGACCATCCCACAAGCCCCCGAAGCACAGCGAACCCCACTGGTTCCCCTGGGAGATTGCTGAGCCCAGCCAAGCCTTTCCCGGAGCCGTGCTCTCCCAGCCGGTGGGGATTTCGGCTCGGCACAGCCCAGCGGCACACACACGTGCGTGCACACCGCCGGGTTATGCAAGCGCTGCACGCAGGAGCAAGCAGCTCGCGAGCATCCCCACAGATTATACCGGGGCTGGGAATGCCAGTGAGCGGAATGTGTGTGAGCGGCAGCGAGACATGCCAGATCAGGTGCCCGTGCACCGCTGGCTGCTGCAGATTTAGGGATATGTCACTCCCCCCATCCCTCAATCTGTCAGGAGACAAGCAGCAAGGCTTAAGGAGCTCAGCAAAAGCATCCTCGCAGCCGTGATGGCCCCAGGAACATCTTTCAGCAGCCCAAGCTGTAACGGCAGGTGACACATTGGCTGCGGACTCTCTCCCAGCACCAGGACAGGGGACCCTGTAGATCTAAAGCCCCCAGATCTGCAAAGAGTGGAAACCTCTTGCTCTGCCTCATGGCTGGCAGGGGAAGACGGGACTGCGGACGTGGATGCTCTCCCCGCTGGGGTGAACTGGGCTATGTGCAGCGTGGGACGGATGGGACAAAGCATTGGAGGCAGCAAGGGAAGAGGGATGCCACCCTGGGGATGGTGATCGCCAGCGCTCACCCCACGTTGCCTGCACGGCCTGCCCGGGCTGGCCAAGCTGTACAGATTGTGCCCACAATCAAGCTTTCATCCCCAAAGGCAAGGAGATTAAAAGAGAGAGAAAATCTGCTGGAGAGAGATAGGCAGCCCCCACCCCGGCCAGCCCGATGCAATCCACGGGTCAGCGGGTCAAAGCGTGGTGGTGGCTACACTCCCGGGCACAGCACAGTCTCCTGCCCGATCCCATCCCATCCAAGCCCTCCACCCTGCCAGGAATGGCTGGCCTGATCTTGTGCTGTGCGCCCCAGCAATGCTGCCAGGCCAGGAGCATCCCCTGGCAAACAAGAGACCACAATAACTGTCCGTCCTTGGGGAAAGGCTGCAAAAAGGAGCATTTACCACCAAAAATAGCAACACCCCTGCAGCGAGACGGGACAGCAGTAGGGGTTAGCTGAGTACACAGGGCTGGGGGCACTTGCAAGCCTGATTTTGATGCTTTGGGAATAAAAATATAGGAATAAATCAATCCAGCACCCGCCTGTAGCTACCTCCCTCAGCCCCAGCTGTGGCAGACGTCTGCCCTAGCACTGCCACCTTGCTTCTGGGCCACTGGTGGGCACCGGGCGAGTTTTGGCACCATGAGGACAAGCTGTCCCCAACTCCTGGCTGCAGTGTCACACTGTGGAGTGCAGCTTTCACCCCCATCTGCAGGTATGCCATTGCCCTAAGTCCCAGCAAAGTTGCAATAAAGAGGATTCGGGTGATTTTCCTCTGCCCTGGCCACGGCCAGGAGTCTTCCAGGACACACAGAGGCACCTGCCCCTGGCTCCGATAAGCTCTCAAACTAAGCAGAGACACCTATAAACGGATTAGAAAGTGAAGGAGAGGTGCCTGATCTTCAATCAAAGGATGGATGATGAGACACAGCCCTGGGAGTCCTACGGAGACCTGTGGGAAGCCCAGCAGCCTGGGAAGTGGCTAATTTGGATTAAAACCAAACCACCCAAAGCGTGACTGGCTGGGCTCAGCCCCAAGCCCCCGGGCAGGAGAGAGCAGGGTGGATGCGTGCTATTATCACCGTTGGAGCAGGGAGGGAGACCCGGAGCACCACACCAGGTATTGAAACCGGGCGTTGGTTGTAGCTCGGGGCTCGGATCTTTGGTCAGCACCAGGCATGTTCAGGGTTCGGGGTCTTCCCCCTTGGCTGCATCAATGGGGAAGGCACAGGGAAGAGCTGGAGGGAGGCCAGAAACCAGCTACATGGAGACGGCTGGGAAAGCAAGGAGAGGTTTAGGAAGCTCAGGGGGAGAAGATTTTCCAGCATGAAAAAGCTGAAATGCAAACGTCCTCAGCCCAGAGCCATCTTCTGCCTTTCCCCGTGCCATCCGCAGCACAGACAGGGACACAGCAAGATTGCACCAAAGTGAACAAAATTCCCCCATTTGTTGATACTCCAACACACCCAAGTCTTGGGAACAAACTGGCTCCAGCTGCGGGATTAATGGCATTTTAAAGCCCCTAATTGGAGTGATTGCTCCTGACAGACCAGGCGTGCGACGGAGGGTGATGTGGGAAGGATGCCCGCGCCGGGAAACCAGGGCTGCTGACTCGGCAAGCAAGGAATAGATCCCTGTCCGTCCGTCAGTCTGCACTGGCAGTTGGCAGACCCATCACCTCCGATCCTCCTTGCTGTCCCAGAAGTGGTGCAGAATTACGAGAAAGCCTTAGGTCACAGTTGAGGGTATAAACACAAGCCCAGCAGTGTGTAGCATGGGATTACAAAGATTAAATCCTGCCAGGTAAACCCAGGGCTTCGACCATTGCCCACCCTCGGCACCGAGCAGTGCAGTGGCACATCCTCGACCTCTCGGTCACAGCACCGTGACTCTGCAGGGACCATCCATGGGGAACTGCTGTCCTCTCCTCTCAACATGCGATCATGATGTGTATTTCCACCCACAATTGCTCGGGGAGGAGCATCGTGCAGTCGAGCAAGCAGGAATCCAACAGCTCAGCACCCTGGTCTTGTGGGAGTACGACCAGCTCCAACGGTTCAACACTGAGCCGCCAGATCCCTCCATCCTTCCCCAAAATCTTGAGACACTTTAAAGGTCTCACCCAGTGGGTGTTTTCCCCCCGCTTGCTGCTGAGGTTCCTATTTTCATGCTGCTTTTTGCAAGTGTGAATTTTAGATATATTTTTAAGTAAAATGGGAGGAATTTGGGGTGAGCATTTGATGCCAGGACCTTTCCCAGCTCCTTAGGGACCTCCAGGGAGCTCAGGGGGTCTTAGGGAGTCTGCCTAGCCCAAAAAGCCCAGCTCTCGGCTCCCCAGGCAGCCCCAAGCAGCCCAAAGAGGCAGTGAAGGCGCAGCGGAGCGGAGCCCGGAAGGAAGAACTGTGGGAGGTTTCCACAGCCATTGGTAGCCCTCAGCACAGCAGCCCCTGTGAAATCTGGGAGCCTGTTCTCCTCCTGAGACAGCCGGGGACAGGGACTCCTGCTAAACCCCCAAGCCCTGGCAGGGCAGGGAGAAGTACCATCCCATGCAGGACCCTGCTCTGGGAACACATCTGGATACATCTGGAGCCCTGCATGTCGCATCCCCGGGTGGCACCTACACCCAGGAGAGCAGGGGGGGAGCTGAGCAGCCAGGCAGGAGGTAGCTGGCAGCCATGCCAGGGCCTTGGGGGGCTGCTGA